TGCCACCAATAGTGTTTTCTGAGTTCTGTCTAAGAAATAGTTGTCTGTTCCAAAATGCCATCATCTCCTATGCTTTTTTCTACAACAAGCTTTGGTATTTTAACGTTCACATTTAATTTTGGGTAGATGTCAAGGTTAACTTTTTATTCCATGTAGATTTTCAGTTGTTCTAGTACCATTTCTTGAAAAGAATATACTTTAAAAATAAATGTTGTTGTGATAACTGGATAGCCATATAAAAGGAGGGAAAATTGCATTAAGTTAAAAAAATGAACAGAGAGATTTGTCTCATGAGATTCTTGATTAAAATTAAAATTCTGACCTCCAGAATTGTTTTTTGACTGGGCCCAGTAATGTTTAACAGTGGTTCTGTTGGGTGAAGCCTTGAAAGTATTCAACCAGAATTTTAAAATAATAAATTTGTTATTTCTCCCTAGCTTTTTTTGAAATATAATTGACATATAACATTGTGTAAGTTTAAGATATACAATGTGATGATTTGATACACTTATATATGTGACATGATTACTATAATTACTAAGGTTAGTTAACACATCTGTCATTTCACATAATTACCATTTTGTTGTTGTTATGGTGAGAACATTAAAGCTCTACTCTCATAGCAACTTTCAAGTATATAATAAGAGCATTGTTAACTATACTCATCATTTTGTATACGAAATCTCCAGAATGCATTCATCTCATAACTAGAAGTTTGTGTCCTTTGACCAACATTTTCCCTCCTATCCCTCAGGCCCTGGCAGCCACCATCCCACTCTCTGTTTCTATGAATTTGGCTATTTTTAGATTCCACATATAAATGAGATCATACAACTTTTGTCATTCTTTGTCTGACATATTTCAAGGTCCATCCATGTTATCACAAATTTCCATCATTTTTATGGCTTAATAATGGCCTGTTGTATGTATACACCACATCTTCCTGATTTATTCATCTGTCAATAGACACACAGCTTACTTCCATGTCTTGGCTATTGTTGATAATGCTGCAATTAATATTGGGATGCAGGTATCTCTTTGAGAAAACCACTTCATTTCCTTTGAATGTATAGCCAGAAGTAGGATTGCTAATCATATGGCAGTTCTATTTTTAATTTTTTTACTAACCTCCTATTATTTTCCATAGCGGCTGCACCAATTTACATTCCCACCAAGAGTGCATAGGGGTTCTTCTCCCCCCACATTCTTTTTTTTATTCTTTTTATTTTTTTAATATGTCTTTATTGATTTCAGAGAGAGGAAGGGAGAGGGAGAGAGAGATAGAAACATCAACTGTGAGAGAGTCATGGATCAGCTGCCTCCTGCATGTTCCCTACTGGGGATCAAGCCTGCAACCCGGGCATGTGCCCTGACCGGGAATCGAAGGGCAATCTCCTGGATCATAGGTTGATGCTCAGCCACTGAGCCACATCCAGCAGGGCTCCCCTACATTCTTGACAGCACTTTTTATTTCTTTTCTTTTAGGCAACAGCCATTCTAACAGGGTGAGGTGATATCTCATTGTGGTTTTGATTTGCATTTCCCTGATTAGTGATGCTGAACATCTTTTCAAAGATAATAAATTTGCATTATTTAAGCCATATATACATACATACAGACAGACATACAAAAAGTTCCCAGGAACATTAACTCCTAAATAATAAAATATATTAACAATGTCTATAAAATTGGAAAAAAATGCTGAAATGCTTTTGTGATTGTATTAAGTATGTCTGTATGAGAATTGTGAGAAAAGTCTTTCCTTGTTTTGTCTGTTATGGTTATACTCTAGAGACTTCTTTTTATCTAACCAAAAGTGTGTAGTGAAAATGTATGAATATGCTCGCCAACTCTTCTCTAGATTCATCTCCATACAGATGTCTATAAACCAGAAACATCATCCCCTGCACATTCTGGGTTCTGAAAGATCATTGACTCCTTGTCTCTGTGCTCTAATACCACTAGGCCCATCCAGAAAAATACAAGGAGGGTTTGTTAAACCACAAACATTCCCACCACAGAATATTTTTAAAAATTGATTTTAGAAGGGGAGAGGAAATGGGGGGGGGG